ATTTGCCCCCCCTTGCCCCCCCCCCTGGCGCCGCCACTGCCTTCGGCTCTTTTAAAGAATTCTTGATATCACGCCAAGAACCGAACGTAAATTATTCAATAAAAATTTCATCATATATTACGCGTATATAAAGCCTGGTTTGCACTATCAAAGTCACAGTAGGAATTTTGCATGGGTAAATTCTAAGTTTTGAAGGATCTGTAAGAGATGTTTGCATAAACAATGAGTCGTTTCCCTCAAACATTTCTTACAAATCATTCAAAACTTAGATTTAACTTATGCAAAACATGAACTTTGCCAGCCTTGCAATGCAATTCTACTCTTGAGAGATGTTAATTAGTGAAATCTGTGAAGAATTTTCAAATATGTTGAGAAAACGTCAGCGAAGTATAATGAAGACCTATGATGAAGACTCGTATTTGGCAATTTTACATCTCTCAAGAGTAGGATAGCATTGCAAGTTGCAAGAAAAATTGCACCGTGTAACATGGCCTTAAGATTAGTAATATCTTTTTAAAACTTCGACAAGGGTCTATTCTCTTGAGAAAGGAATGTGTATAATACTTTAAAATTAGCTACACAGCTAGGCTACCTTTTTAAATGCATCTGGCGATTGTGAAACACAAAATAATAGTTAAATATTGTCAATTTCAATACAATTATCATTTATGTTGTGAAATTGACGTCATATTTATACAGCAATATATATAAACTCACTGAACTTCAGACATCCTTCTCTCTTTGGAGTACAGATTAAAATCTCTTCATTTCAGCATAGGATTGTATAGCATTACTTTACAGATAATTTTTAAGTTGTTTGCATGTCGCTTAAGAAGCGTACCCGCAAAAATTAAGAAAATTGAATATAGTCATAACCAAGCAAGGGTGGGTTGACTACAAAATTTTTGTAGTTCGCTATAACTACAGCTACTTCAAAAATATGTAGTCAGCTACAACTACTGCTACTTTTAAACAAAGGTACTTCGCTACTGACTACAGCTACTGCTTAAAAAATGTAGCGAACTATTTCGCTATTTCGCTACTCTATATTTTTTAGTTTTAAGGTATTTGAAGCATCCACTAGCTCAGGCTGTAATATAACCTATAACAAATCGACGAGTAGCAACAGTAAACAAAAAAGGTCAAAGCAACATTTTTGTAAGCACTACAGTGTTCAGGAGTGCCACTTTTCATTGCGCTAAAATATAATCTTTACTGTATAAAATAATATTTTAAGCAAACCGTGTCTTAATATCATTTGCTAACAATTTTAAAAAGCAGCGAATAGCGATTTGCTGTTTAAAAAGTAGTCAACTATTTGGCTACTTTTAGGCAAAATGTAGTTCGCTATATAACTACAACTACTGTTTTAAAAAAGTAGTCAAAAACTACTGGCTACTTGAAAATTGTAGTTCGCTACAGTAGCGAACTACAACTACTTCGCTACTACCCAACCATTGTAACCAAGAGGAAAAGTATATTCATTAGTTTTGAGCGCGTGTTACGTAACATACCAAAAGATTCTCCTCTTAAAACTTACCTATAGGTCTTCTATGAACAGCTATTTCAACGACACTGAGTTGTACACCATTTGCATTGCTTTGAACGGTCAGGTATCTTCCCCACTTGTTACATCTTATAAATTTGGCCTTTTCAGCATCATATGTACCAAAACACTTCTCGGAAGTCAAGAATTGTTCAAACGCAGTCTGAGTATCACCTTAATTAAAATGAAATTGCATGTTATATATTACTTTGAACTTTTCTGTTTCTGGTGTTACGCACTCAGGTGAAGATATATGTGTGTGATGTTATCTCAGGTGAAGATATATGTGAGTGATATTATGGATGTTGTATGGTATGGTATGGTATGGTATGGTATGGTATGGTATGGTATGGTATGGTATGGTATGGTATGGTATGGTATGGTATGGTATAGTATGGTATGGTATGGTATGGTATGGATGGTATGGTATGGTATGGTGTGTTATGGTATGGTATGGTATGGTATGGATGGTATGGTATGGTGTGGTGTGTTATGGTATGGTATGGTATGGTATGGTGTGTTATGGTATGGTATGGTATGGTATGGTATGGTATGGTATGGTATGGTATGGTATGGTATGGTATGGTATGGTATGGTATGGAATGGTATGGATGTATGGTACGGATGGGATGGATGGTATGGTATGGTATGGTATGGTATGGATTGGATGGTATAGTAAGTATGGGATGGTATAGTATAGTATGGGATGGCATAGTATAGTTCAGTATAAATTTCCAGGTGACTATTGATTTTTCTACATTCTGATTGGTCAAGATTCACTGTCTCTGAAGTGATAGTCACTGGTCAGTGACTATAGCTTTTTTTTCAAAATGGCTGCTCGTTTTGCCGTAGTAACAGAGGAGGAAATTGCCAAAATTAAAGAAGATAGCATTCCGAAAAAACCCAAACAAGCTACAAAATATGGACACGTTTCGGACATTTTAAATGTCCGTCTTCAGGCGACAATTGTTGTTAATGCAATCCGCACAGGGTGAGTGGTGATCAGCAGGATTCCGTCGATTCAGCTGGACAGCTTGGGCCAGAAGCTTGTAATTTGGATTTACATCTTTGCAGGCATTGTCCTGCAACTGTTCTCATTGAATTTTTGAATAACAGGTTGTGTCATGGTGTATTTGGTTGAATGTCATGAGATAACTACCCTGGATTCCAGAGCCTTCGACAGTAAATAATAAATTGAAATGTCGCGAAGGCTCTGGTTCAACGGGCGATTCTTTGATTAAGCCGCACCAATCACAAAACAGAATTAGTGGTTTTAGTACAGAATTTTAGTAGCGCGGCTTAATCAAAGAATCGCCCCGTTGAACCAGAGCCTTCGCGACATTTCAATTTATTATTTACTGTCGAAGGCTCTGGAATCTAGGGTATGAGATAACCAAAATATTACTAACTTTAAGTGAAATTACTAAAAAAATTACCAAAAATTTTCAATTACCAAAAAAGTCAGAAAAATCGCGAAATATTACCAAAAGTAATTTAAATTACCAAATCTGGTCACACTGTTTAGATACTTCATGTTCGGAAAGTACAACGGTTTTGTCAGCAAGGCG